CTCACTCGCGCGCCCACACCCGCACCATGGGTGTGGGTGTGTGTGTGGGTCCCAGACCAACACCCACACCCTCAGTCACCCACCCCCCTCACTCCTAGACTCACGTTTCAGTTTGAAATAATGTATTATTTTTATTTGATAAATTCAGACTGAAATTAAATAGCCCATTGTATGTTTAAAACACACTGGATTCATTTTATGGGATTCGGAAAACTGGCCCAAACATGAGGATGGTCAAGAATCGTATCGATATATTCATGTTAAACACTATCGTAAATCTTGCGCTCAGATTTGCTCAAACTTTTATGGTCAACCATCCAAGAATTTGCTAATGATCGGTGTCACAGGAACTAATGGAAAAACGTCAACCACTTATATAATAGAGCGAATATTAGAATTTTCGAAACTTTATCGACCGCTTCTCATTGGAACACTCGATACTCGATGTTGTAACGTCAAGCTATATCCGTCGTATACAACGCCGTATTGTGACGTAATACAGAAGTTGTTACGTACAGCAGTGGATCAATATCATGCAGATTCTGCAATCATGGAAGTTTCTGCACGTGGCCTCGATCAAGAGCGTGTTGGAAGTATTGCATTCGATGTTAGTATTTGCACAAATCTGACGCCAGATCATCTAGGCTATCATGGTACTTTCGACCAATATAAACAAGCTAAAACGATTCTCTTCGAAGAGTTGGCTAAATCATTCGCTATTATTAATGGTGATGATGATAATGCACAACACTTTATTGATAAAGCAAAGAAAATTGTAAAAGTAATAACATATGGAATTGCTCGAAATGATGACACAGATATCTACGCTAGTAATATTCAATTGAATATCCATTGTTTAAAGTTTGACATAAATATTTCAACTACAAATATAGCGGAACATATTCATATTCCATTTTTGATTGGAAAAACTAATGTTTATAATTCATTGGCTGCATTAGCATGTGCACATCTAGCACTTAATATCCCATTGGATATATGCAAGAATGCTCTTGTAACAATGCCACCTATTTCAGGTCGTCTTGAGTTTGTTACCGAGCGACAGGATCCAATTACAGTGATTATAGATTCAGCACATACTCCCGATAGCTTCAAAGAAATACTCAACACAATTAGAGACTGTGCAATGGCTACTAATAAATTGATCTGTCTATTTGGTTGTCCGGGTAAAACGAGTCGTGCAAATTATTTACATATGACTACAATTGCTCAACAACTACCCGATAAAGTGATCATCACAAGGGATGATACAACATCTGAAAATCCAAAACAACTTATAGAAGAGCTTTTACCAGGATTTTCTTCAACGTCGGACAGTAATGACAATGTCATCGTCGAAATAGATCGAAGAGAAGCAATAAAGAAAGCTATTTTGTCTATTACACAAGATGGTGATATATTAGTTATATTAGGTAAAAGATTCAATATCAGTCAAATGCTCGAAAGCCGTATGATTGATTTTGATGATCGCACAATTGTAAAAGAATGTATTCAACAACGTATTCAGCATAATTCATAATGAATGTTTGCCATCTCTAGAGGGTGGGCGGGTGAGGGTGTGAGAACAGCTGCTATAATCTAGATTTCACTGCCGCTACGCGGATCATCAGATGGCTTTACAGAATAATTTGAATTCGAATAAATGCAAATCCAAATCAGATCACATTTCACTGTTACTATAGAAAAAGTAGTCTCTCAGTCTATAGTAATAGAAATTACCTGAATCAGTTGTGGGAAGAACTACCCATATCCATAGTTCTTCTATCTAGAATGAAAAACGGTACAATTTTTTTTCTTCATGCATATATTATAGGTTGAATAAGTTTTGTGTAAACGAATGTTATTTCAATTAGTTGTTCGGAATATTTTCGAAATTAGGAATGGTAAATTTAGGGACGAATGGAAAATATTGTCATTGGTTTCAATTGTATATGCTTGATATTCTATTGTATGAATTTTCGGTTTATGCTGCTGATACATTTTGGGTGTGCGTGTGTATAGCTACCACAAATATCCGATATTTTCGATGTTGCTGAAATCTTATCAAGTGGCACAAGGATATCTATTTAAGAGATCCAAAATTTTCGAGAAATTTCGAATCAAAATAAGATATCATCTTCGATGTCGAAAACAGTTAGAAGACAAGTACAGGACGAACTGTGAATTCGGTCGTATTTTGTGGTATTGAGCACGTTGTACATGATGAGGAAATAGATGATGGCAATACTGTTGAAAGTTTTTTTGTTGTGAACATCAATGGAGTGAGCTTTACTTCTGTGACTGCCCTGCAAATAGACCATACTTTGTAGAGGGTATCAATTGATCGATAAAATTATTGGATGTTGGAATTGTTTTCGCTGAGTCAAAGAGAATAGCTTGGATATGGTGAAATGTATGATAATAAGACGAGTGGGTCTCTGTTGTAGTTGAATATTCGTTGAGAGCTATTATTGTGTGTGAGTGTTGAATTAGTTCAGCATGGATCAACATATAATTGGAATATCGTGAGGCAAGTTTTCGTACAATTGTAAATAGTTCGCATTTTGTGGGGTTCGGTAATTGGGTCGGCAAAGATGAATGGTTGTTGTGCTCGATGAATTTATAAGAAAACAGTGGATTTTATGGGTTTAAATTATCGTAATTCATTTATATTTCGATTATTGTTGGTATTATTCATTGATGTTTTGCTTTGATGTTGGTAAAGATTTTCTTTGGTAGTATTGGATGAAATATAACGAGATAGTACCAATGAATATGATTATGAATAAGTAGTAAATGTTTTGAACGCATTGGTCTAATTTTGAGGCAATGTTTTCATATGGATTCTCTTTTGATTTAGTACATCCAGCAGCATTACATGTAATGAGGATAAATAAAGAATCGATAAAGGAATAAACAAGTAAGAGTACTGTTGCATCTCTATGTTATTCGAATAGATCTATAAGAAAAGAAAATGCAGATAAACAATATGAATAGTTATAGGTAATAT